CCCTCAATAAAATAATTTAAAAACTAATAATAATAACCTGATCAAGCCCTTAGAAAAGTGTCACTACCATCTAGTTGATGGTGGCCACAGGGACCCTACAGGGCAGGGTAGAGCCGCCCCTGGGAGTTTCTAAGACTGTCACACCTTGCCTCATCTTTCTTTCGGATCAGCTGGTGGTTTCAAACTGCTGACCTTGCAGTTAGCAGCCCAACCTGTCAGCAAGGCTCCTCTAGATAAGCTTCCTTCAGCATCTCTAAAAGTCAAGATGCAGGTCACCCGACAATTAGGAGGAGTCCTTAGAGATTAACAGAATAATAGTCCCAAAGACGCCCTGCCCAATCCCAGCGGAAAATGAAGGAGTCCCCCTCTGGAGAGCCTAAGGAACAACTGCAGGAGAAAGGCACCGTTTCGAAAAGGAAGGCTCCCAGGGAGTTGCATTGCTGAAATGGGAATCCCACCTGGGACCCCTCTCCTCACTCAGCCCTAAGAATGCCGGCGGTAAAGAAGGGTCCCCGCCTCAAACACCTTCCAGATTCCTTATCCATCAGACCTAAACCCTGGTCTGAGTGGTTACAAAAGGAGGAAAAGGACCATTGAAATGGCCTGTGACACACGTACTAGTTTCAAACAAGAAGAATGCTGGCCTTGAACCTGCCCTGCCGCCACCAGGTAAGAAGACAGAGAAAATGGCAAACACAAGAAGAAAAACTGACCCACTGGGGAAACCGACCAAATGAGAGTAAGACAAGGACTACCAATTCCCTATTCCAACAGGCAAGAGCTAGCTGCATGACGCATACTCAGATCCCTGGAGCCCCTTTTCAACCAAACCAGACGGGTGCGCAGGGCTCTAGACAGCATGCAGGGCCTCATGATTCAACGTGAACAACAGCTAGGGATGACCAAACCTGTGAAGAAACGCTCTACCATGACAACTGAATGTCAGAGAGAGAGAGACTCAAAGAAAACAGATATGACAGGGGTAGGAGCAAACACTTCTTAAAAACTATAATTGATATCTTCGGTGAGATAACAAGATGATGCATCCATGAAAAAATAGATGCCATGAAATGAATATTCAGAGAACCTAGAGCGCCCAGGGTAGTAAAAATATGATGACAGACCCTTTGCAGTGAGACCAGAAAAGCTGGCTGAGGACTAGCTGCCGTCACTCAGCGTTCTGATCAAAGATGCCATGAAAGAATTCTGATTGAAAGGGGGAGGAGGAAGAAATGTGTAGAAAAGAATTTAAAATGATGATGAACTCCAGGCTTTCTAGTGTCATGGCGGCCATATAAATCCCTGAAATATTGCCCGGAGAGATATCTCTAAGCCTTAAACCAAAAATATCTCCCAAAGTCTTCTTAAAACCAAACAATAGTTTCGGTGAGCAACTAAAGCCTGTTTGCCTTGTGCGGTGTGCTCTTCTACGATCTGTCTCCATGGTATACAATTGACAGCAACAATTCCAAAGATTGAGTAGGTAGCTTAGAGGGCAGTGGACTTCTGCCGGTGGAGAGTGTGTGGCATAGTGGTTGTTAACACTGGGCTGCTTTACTGCCAGGTAAGCGATTTGAAACACTCCCGTCTCTGAGTTACAGTCTTGGAAACAGGGGCAGTTGTACCCTGCCCTATCAGGCCACTAAGAGCTGTCATCAACTCAATGGCAGTGAGTTTGATTTTTGAATTGGGGGAATTAATTAGTGACAATTAAAGAAAAGCCTGCGAATAAAGAAGTAGAGCAATTATAAACTCCATAGTAACGTTAATAATAAATACTAATGAAATGTGTTACAGAATAGTATTAGGGAATTGAAGGAAGAGGAAGTAAAAAACTCAACGCTCAGCTTACATAAAAGAAAGCCCACAAACACCAGGTACTATAAGGGTAAGTATGTTCTTTAAAAACATGACAGTATATACTTAAAGATACAACTAAGCAAAGCAGTTGATGCTGGAAAACTTAACATTAGGAGGGGTAGAAATAAGGCAAAGAATGATATTTTTTCATTATAAGCTTTATAAAACTTTTGATTTTCTAAAAGTGCATAGATAACCTTGATCAAAATACGAATTGGAAGAAAAACATTTTAAAACTTGGATGTTTTGTTATTAATAAGAAACCACTTGTGACTTACAAGAGATACCACACAATAACATCCTTTGACTATGTGATGGATTGAATTGTGTCTCCCCACCCACCCCAATATGTGTCAATTTGGCAGGGTCATGACTCTCAACATTATGCAATTGTTCTCCATTTTATAATGTGATGTAATTATCCTATGTGATATCAAACCTAACCACTGTGATGTTAGTGAGTCAGGATTAGAAGCATTTATGTTAATGAGGCAGAGTGTGAACTACAGGATTGGGTTGTATCATGAGTTCATGTATTTTGAGATACAAAATAAATGACGTTAGCAGCAGGAGGACCTGACTACCACCAAGAAAGAAGAGTCAGGAATGGAGGATGTCCTTCGGACCAACGGTCCCTGTGATCAGAACCTTATAGACTCAGGGAAAGATTGATGTCAAAAAATGTGGAAATCTCCAGGGATCCCTCAGCTAGCCAATAGAAACAGCAGCCAATATTCTGAATTCAGATTCCCATATTCCTAAACTGTGAGAGAACAGATTTTTATTTGTTATAGTCATGCACTTGTAGTATGTCTGTTATAGCCTAGACCCCCAAGACAAAAATATAAATAAATTAGAAGTCAGTAGCCAAACCATATCTTTAAAAATCTGTGATATAAAATTATAAAGTGTCGGGCATGGTGACACGTGAGTGTAGTCCCAGCTACTCCGGAGGCTGAGGCTGGAGGATCGCTTGAGTCCAGGAGTTCTGGGCTATAGTGCGCTATGCTGATGCGTTGTCCACACTACATTCCGCATCAATATGGTGACCTCCCTGGAGCAGGGGACCACCAGGTTGCCTAAGGATGGGTGAACCGGCCCAGCTCGGAAAATTACAAAGCATGTTTCCAAATGGAAATATAAAATAAACTTATTTTCTGAGAAACTAAAATATATTTTTCTGAAGTTTTAGATGTATAGGAAAAATGTGACAGTAGTATGGAGAGTTCCCACACCCAAACAAAGCTAATTCATTGCTATCCCACTGATTCTGAGCCACGGTGACCCTGTGTGAACCCGCTTTCTTCACTGTGGTCTTTACAGCAGCAGATACCCAAGCCTTTCTTCCACAGCGCCTCTGGGTGGGTTTGAACTGCCAACCTTTCAGGTAGCACATCTTACATTAAAATGGCACTTTTCCCACAATTAGTTCATATCAATGCATCATGACTCGTGAAAGTCTATACCTTATTCAAATTTCCATAGTCTTTCTTGAAGTCTTCCTTGAATGACCTTATTCTGTTCCAAGATTCCTTTCAGGGCATAAGATTGTATTTAATCGTCATATTTCCATCACTTCTCGGCCTTTTGGCTAAGGTCAAGTGTAGCATATGTCCTTAGAGTCCTCTTGGCTGTGAGTTTTTCCATTTTTTGGAAAAAACAGAAAATTTGCAAAAATTCAAAAGTCTTGCAAATTTTCTGGTTTTAAAATGATGGAGCAAATTTAGCAGGTTTTTTTTAACCTTCTTGAAAAATATTCAAAAGGAAAAAGTATTAACATACATGTAAACTCCACCTTTGACGAAACAAACAGAAACTTGAGTCCCAACCCACAAGATATTTAGAAGGACTGCCCAACACGATGCAGGTCAAATGTGAGTGTGGAAGGGAGAGGAGGAAGGATGTTGGCAATCCTGAGCTGAGATACTAGTGGAGGTTGTATGGCTGAGCCAGGTTTCAGAAACAGTCAAAGCCACACAGAATGACTCAAATGAGAAGTTTTTATTCAAAGGTGGCAATCAAGAATCAGCTAGTGCTCGAGTCTCCCAGTCCAAAGCACAGCCTAACACTCAGTTTATAAAGGATAAAAGCACAAGCAGATGGGGCGGGGGAGATGATAAATCACTGAAACACTCACTCGGGATGGGAAGGCTTTGAGGAATTTCCAAAGTTCGCAGGGGTCAAGAACTTGTTGATTCAGGGAAAGAAACTCAACAAGGAGGCTAGAGATCTAAAGACTACAGTTTGACAATTTGACCTGATAGATATTTACAGAGCTCTTCATCCAAATACAAAAAAATTCCCATTCTCTTCAAGTACACATGGCACATATTTTAAGATAGACCACATGCTGGGGCATGAGGTGAATCTGCATAAATTTAAGCACATTGATATCATACAGACCTCTCTCTATCATACAGACCACTGTGCTATAAGGCTGGAAATCAACAAAAGGAAGATGAAGAAAACAAGAGCAGACAATTGGAGGATGAATACTCTCTATTGCAAAAGGAGTGTGTAGTGGCCAGATCAGAGATGAAATTAGGAAATTACTAGAAACCAACAAGAATGATAACACAATGTACCAAAACTTATGGGACACAGCAAAGGCAGTTAACAGAGGAGGTTTCATAGCAATATATACACACATGAAAAAGGAAGAGAGACTCATGATTGATATGCTGGCATAAATTTTACAGCAACTAGAGCAGAGTCAACAGGACAATCCTACTAATAGCAAAAGAAAAGGAGAGAAAAATCAGGGCTGAGATCAGGAGTGGGAAAATAAGAAAACTATGGGGGGAAATGAATGCTACTAAAAGTGGGATAAACAGAATCGACAGGCCGCTGGCAAACCTAACCAAAGAAAGGAAGGAACAAATTTCAATAGCAAGGATGAGGGATGAAAGAAGGGACATTACAACAGACCCTATGAAATCAAAGGGATAATTACACAGTACTACAAAGGACTTTACTCTGGTGAATTCAACAATTTGGAAGACATGGACAATTTCTTGGAAAAAACAATCCCTCCCTAGACTTTCTCCGATGGACGTTAAGAATTGCAACAGTCCCACAGCAATAGAAGAAATAGACAAAGTTATCAAAGGATTGTCAGCAAAAAAAAATATCCCCTGCACCGTATGGCTTCACAGGAGAATTCTACCAAGCATTCAGGGAAGAACTGACACCAATCCTACAGAGAATATAGAAAAAGACAACAAACTCCCGAACTCCTTCTATGAAGTTAGTATAACTATGTTACCAAAACCGGGCAAGGATTCCACAGGAATCGAGAACTATAGACCAATATCCCTAATGAACATCGATGCAAAAATCCTTAACAAAATACTGGCCAATAGAATACAAAAGTATAAAAAAACAAATAATTCACCATGGGATTCATTCCAGGGATGCAGGGATGGTTCAACATAAAAAAAGACCTTTAGTATCATTCACCACATTGACATGAAAAACTGTAAGAACCACATGATGATATCGATAGAAACGGAAAAAGCATTCAACGACATCCAACACAAATTCCTGTTTAAGATACTCAAGAAGATAGTAATGAAAGGAAAATTCCTCAAGATAATACAAGCTATATATTAAAAAAACAGCCAACATGGTAGTCAATGGAGAAAAGACAAACACAATCCCACTGAAAAAGGGGACCAGACAAGGATGCCCCTTGTTCCCACTCTTATTTAACATCGTACTGGAGGTTTTAGCTAACAGCATAAGGCAAAGAAAAGACATCAAAGGTATTCATCTGGGGAAGGAAAAGGTGAAATTATTGTTATTTTCAATGATGTGATTTTATATATGGAAAATCCCAAAGGATCCACAAGGGGAGTAATGGAAGCAATAGAGGAGTTTGGCAGAATGGCAAGATAAATATCAACAAACAGAAGTCTATCAGACTGCTATACACATTGGATAAGACCACAGAAGAGGAGATCAAAAAGGTAGTACCCTTCACAATAGCCAAGCACAAATTGAAATATCTAGGGATATACCTGACTAAAAGAATAAAAGATCTATATGAGGAAAACTACAGAACACTATTACAAGAAATCAAGAGTGACCTCAACAAATGGAAGAATACCCCATGTTCGTGGATTGGAAGACTCAATACAGTAAAGATGTCAGTTCTGCCCTAGGCACTGTATCAATTCAAAGCAATCCCAATACAATTGCCCTCATCTTTCTTCAAAGAAATGGAAAAACTGATTACCAACTTGATTTGGAGAGGGAAGACGCCCCAAATTAGCAGAGAACTCCTCAAGAAGGACACAGTGGGAGGGCTTGATTTACCTGACTTTAGCACATACTATACAGCCACAGTGGTCAAAACTGCCTGTATTGGTACAATGACAGATACTCAGATCACTGGGAAAAAAGCCCAGAAATAAAATCATCAGCATACAGACAACTGATCTTCCATAAGGGCCCAAAAAGTATCCAATGGAAAGCAGATGCCCTCTTCAACAAGTGGTGCTGGAAAAAATGGATATCTACCTGCATAAAAATGAAGCAAGACCTATATCTCACTCCATACACAATAATAAACTCAAGGTGGGTCACAGACCTCGAGGTAAAGCTCCAATCTATTAGGGCCATCAATGAGGGAATTGGGACAAACCCGAGAACTTTGGTGCAGGGAATACATAGGCTATCAGAAATAGGGAAGGATACAAATACAGATGAACCACAAATAGACAAGTGCAATATACCGAAGATAAAACACCTGTGTATATCAAAAGGACTCACCAAGAGAGTAATAAGAGAGCCCACAGATAGGGAAAACATCTTTATCAATGACACATCAGACAAAGGCCTTTTTACTAAAATCTACAATACTCGGCTAGCTTCCAAAAAGAAAAAAACTAATTGCAAACTGAGGAGATGGATAAAAGACCTGAACAGAAGTTTCACAAGGGCAGAAATCCGAATAACCAATAAACATATGAGAAAATGTTTGCAATCATTAGCCATAAGAGAAATGCAAATTAAAACAACAATGAAATACCACCTAACACTCTCAAAAACAGCCCACTTTAAAAAATTAGAAAGCAATAAGTGTTGGAGGGGCTGTGGTGAGATAGGAACTCTCATCCACTGCTGGTGGACCTGTAGATATGTCCAGCCACTTTGAAATTGATCTGGCGATATCTAAAACAGATGGAAATCGAGTTACCATATGACCCAGCAATCCCCCGACTGGGCATATACCAAGAAGAGGCAAGAAACAAACCAAGGCCAGACATCTGTGCTCCAGTGTTCATAGTGGCACAGTTCCCAGTTGCAAGGAGTTGGAAACAACCCAAATTTCCATCAACAGACAAATGGATTCAAAAACTGTGGTACATACATACATACAACGCTTCCCTAAAAAGCAGTGATGAATGCTTGAAGCACATCGCCGCATGGGAAGAA